TGGCCTGCTGTGTTCATCCAGCTCTACACCTTGTTATCTCAGATTCTCCAGCATCTGCAGTTCTTACTATCTCTGCTGTTCTCCCAGTTTCCGCCGAGAATCACTGGAGAACTGCAGCAAGCCTGAGAAAGAGACGTTGGTCAGCGAAGAAGGTGGGTGCGTTGAAGTGGCAGACAATAGCAAGCTCAGTGTTTTTTTCACGGAGAGAACGTAGCTGAACTGTGAAGCAGTCTCACAGTCTACACTTTGTCTTCCCAATGTAGAAGAGAGCGAATGCAGTAGCCTATTTTGATGAAATGCAGACAAAGTACTGCTTCACCCTGGAAGGTCTGCTTAGGCACTTAGATATTGATAAATAAGAAAATAAACAGTCAGGGGTAGTACCTTCTGAAGTTGCATGGGAAGGTGCAGTGGGACTGTGGTGAGCGATGGGAGTGAAGAAAAAGTGGAACTTTGTGTTCCAGATGAAAATGTTGTTGAAGAAAGCAGGCAGAAGAGGTGAAACGAATATGTTTCCAGTGGCTCTATCACGTTGGATGTGGTGCAAATAACAGCTAATAATTCTCTGAATGTGGATGCTGGTGGGATGTTGATGAGAACGAGGGGGAACACTTTCACTTTCGTGGGAGCGGACAGAGGGGTCGGGAGCTGAAGCGTAGGAGATTACTCGGAGCCAACTGCATGCCCTGTTAAGTATGTTGCGAGGGAAACTTGTTTTTAGAATAAGGTAGATGGTTTGTAGGCATTATCATCGAGGCTCCCATTATCAGAACAGACGCAAAGATGACTGGGAGAAAGGAATGGCATTTTTCCAGGAAGTGGGATGTGAGGATGTACAGTCAAGGCAACTCTGGATGTTGATTCGTTTGTCGTGGATGCTGGTGGGCAACCTATTCCCAGGAATGGAAACAAAGATTTCGAGGAAGAGAAGGGAGGCGTAAGACATCAAACAGGTGAATGTGAGATTGGAGTGGAAATACGAAGGCAAATTGACAAACATTTCCAATTCTGGACGAGAGAGGGAAACAGCAGTGATGACATAATCCATATACCGCAGGAAGAGCTGTGGTGGCAAATGAATAAGACTGTAACAAGAAATCTTCCACGTATCCCATAAACAGACATGCATAACTGAGTCCATTGTGGATACACATGGGTCACATCTTTTGCCTGAAGGAAGTGGGAGAATTTTAAATAGAAGTTGTTCAGAATTGAAGTCTCACTCCTCAGGACAGAGGACGGTGATGGCTGATGTGAACGGTTCAGGAATGTTTCTAGGAAAAGAAAAGAGTGCCTTGAGACTGTCAGAATGGTGAATTGACGTGCACAGCGAATGCAATTCAACGGTAAAGGGGAGATGGTTGGACGGCGCTAACTGGAAATACCGAAATTGACATAAAACGTTGAAGGAATTGCAGATGTAACTTGGAAGGGACTGGATAGGTAGAGAGAAAAGACGTGTTGAAGGTGGAAGAGATATGTTTTGTTGTGCAGGAGCAGGTAGAACTGATGGGTCTACTCAGGCAGTATGTTTGTAGATTTTGGTAAGAAGGTACAATCGAGCTGTGTTTGGTTGGGAGACTATGATATTGGAAGCAGTGGTGGGAAGGTCATCAGATAAAATGTGGTTAGTGACAGTGGCCTGATGTTGCATTGTGGGGTCATGGTCCTGGAGGAAATAGGATAAGTTATCTCAGAGCTGGCAATCGACGTGTGCAATGTAGATGTCAGTTGAGCAGAAAACAACAGCACCAACCCTGTCAGCAGGCTTGAGTATAAATTCAGGAAACAGGCCGAGCACAGGTAAAAGGTCAAAGGCATGGTCCTCTGCTCCTGGGTATTCAGTTATTCCGAAATAATGGATGCAGGACTACATAAACACCGCTCCTCATTGAAACACACAGAATTCTTTGGGGTCTTGACATCTTCGATGTCCAAAGGTTGTTTCCACTTCTGAGATAGTCTTAGGCCAGAAAGCAGATTCTCAGTCTAAGATCGTACAGTTACGACAGAGATGAGGAGGATTTTTTTTTCCTAATTGAGAGTTGTGAATCTCTGCAGTTCTTTACCACAGGGTCCTATAGATTTTCGGTCGTTCACTATAAACAAGGATGCAAGAGATTTTTTTTTTTTAATCAGTTAGGAACTGAGGGACAATGTGAAAAGGCAGGATAGTGGAGTTGATTATTATCAGATCACCCATGCTCATATTGAATCGGGGATCTGGATCGATGGGTTGAATGGGCGACTTTTCCTCCCAAGTCGTATAGTCTCAATGTGAAGCTGTGTCACTAACCTGCAAGCGAGTTAAAAACATTTTTCTCTTCGAACAAAATTAAACAAGATGAATCATTTTGGCTGATGTATTCAGAGTTCTCTGTGTGCCACAGTAAACAGTGAAAACCAGTCTTCAGCACCCAGGTTGACACAGACAACATTAGGTCTGAAGTCATCTCTCACAATCTACTATGGTCCTTCACTTTTCCGGATGCCTCGTCCGTTTTTGTTTGGCACTGATTACGCGTCCGGAAATTACAGTTGATCTCCTGGAACACTTACTGGAATAATTCTTACAGTTCATGACACAATTCCACTTCTAAACATTACGCCAAATTTATTTAAACTGACAATAACTGTAACTAAAGAATAACGACTGACAGGCCACTTCCCTGACCGCAAGAGCACTGAATCTTACCACTTGACCAGCAGGGAAGCTGACAGCAATGCTTACAGTTAGCCACATGTGCCATTTATTCACGTCAGCTCCCCTTCCCCAGATACATGTTTTGTTTTTGTTTTCTGACACAAGGCAGTGTTTGGTGGTCTGTAACGTAATGACCCAGAAAATGAGAACTACTGTTAACAGCTGAGACGTAAAATGGATGGTGAGCTGAAATAAACCAACAAACCGCTTGTGTGAAAAAATGAAGTCATTCTCTTTCCTCCACATCAGGAATTCGAACCTCATCTCCGCTTCAGGACATTGATATAACTTAGCTTAGAAAGATAGAAAAGCTGTGAATTGCACGCGAGACAAGGAGGATTCCAACCTACACTCTTCTGGTCGTACACATTAACTATTGCGCTCTTGACCTCGCCCATGCGTAACGCCAAAGTTCTGTGGAGTTGTGGTTTGAGCAGCTACTTACAGACTAAGAAAAAGTGAGAGGAAATGATGACAGATGTGCACGAGGTACGAAGTGAGTGTGGAGATTGTGCTCCAAGGTTCAGTGTTGGAGCTAATGGGTCAGAGTTTATTGCCCGCTGTTTAAACTTGTTCACACATCACTTTTATCCAGTTCGTTTATATCCCTTTTAAACCAATACAATAGGCGATTGTCGCTTTTTCCGAGTTTTCATTGGACACTGTTCAGTTGTCAATTGTCTGTTTATGCAAAGGCAGAAGGTGATTAGAATTCTCATTGAACAACATAGAAACAGAAAAAAAAAACACGAAGTTACTGTGTTGAATCGCTAAGGCAATGGGTATCTTGATGGGCATAAGTAGCCCAGCTGGTGGCGCCGTGCATTACTTGGTGCCTGTCCACTTGACAGGCTATCCTGGTTTCAAGACCATCTTTCTCTGCTACGACCATTTCACGCTATCAGTAAAGACGTAATTATAAATCCCCTAAGTATGATGGAATCATTTTGCGATGGATTAGAAATTCTATTTACTCTTCTGAACATTCACAGTTCTTTGAGGGAAGTAACGGCTCCTCACCTCAGTCCTCACCACGGATATATTATCTAGAGAATATAAGCCAATTTTAGACATGCTAACCAGGTTAAAAACATCTCAGCAGCGCCACTCTCAAACTTTTTCTGAATTTCATATTTTCCAGAACAGAAATGTCAAACGAGAGAGGTGGATAAAGAGTTGATCCAAGAGAGTGAAAGAAGGTGAGGTTGATGCTCACAGACAAAGAGAAACATATAGAAACATATAGTGAGGTACACACTGAAAGAACCAATTCTCCATTCGACATGGATGATAAATGACAGAAAGAAAATAAGGACAAGCGATTTAGCGGATCCTTTCATCAGGACATGTCAAAGGGAGGAGCATTAGAGCTGACAAAGCCCTTTTATAATTGTAAAGTTGATGGTTGTAATCTAATAAGAAGGAGCGAGAGTGATAAAAGTGCTGATTCAAAAAAAAAATCTCATATTTCCCTCCAGAGATGCTGCCTGACCGGCAGAGTTTCGCCAGCAATTTTTGTTTCTTGTGCTATTTCTATTCCAGACAGATGAATAGGAAAGAAAGAACAGTGCGGGGGCAGAGGTAATCACTCAGACTGGGAGTGAGTGGATGTGGTGTTCCTTCGGGACTGGGGTAACTGATGTTCATCATTGGCCAAAATGGCACGGAGTTACAGTTACCAGATTCGTGCATGACAGTCATGTTGTTTGGCATAGGTTATCACTAACACCGAAGGAGGTAGTGACTAAAAGCAAAAGTCTAAGAAACACATTTTCTGAGGAAGTCCAATAGTTTCCTTGTGGACACGTTTGTCGTGGAGTAACTATGTGAGGAATAGGGAAAGGCTAACAGCAGAAAGGAAAATGAAAAAAATAGATGATGGGAAAGTCCATAGGGTACAAATTCCCAAATCAATGAAAAGGAGCATCTCCGGGCATTCAGGGAAATGCAGTAACGTTTTAAAACAGTGAGTGAATGTCAGGAAATCAGGTGTTACAAATTTAATTTTCACCTATGCATCTCAGTAACATGGGTAACACTGTTGTTAACTGAGTATTCAGTGATAAAAAAAGACCGTGAACGCATCGCACAAAGGAAAGATTTTGAAGAAGATTCATATCAGACCCAAAAAATAGTTGACGATATTTCCCTCTCTACAAATGTTGCCACATCTGCTGCTGATTTTTTTTTTTTGTTAGCATTGTCTCATTTACTTCACATTATCCAAACTAACCTAAACTGATAGCGTTGTCTGAATTGCCTTCATGACTGATTTTTTTGAGCGAATACAAAACAGTCTCAACAGAGACCATCAAAAATTGTTTTCACTGAGTGGATTCAAAATCAGCATAACTGGCTACTGGGTATAGATTTCAATAAGCGACAATCGTGCATCGAATAAACCTCATTATCTACGATACTGCCACTGAGCAAAGCTGTTATGACACAGCCCATGGACAGCAGTTCTATCAGACTCATACCGTTCACCTTATGGTGGGGAACTTACATCGATACCCATCCATTTTGCTTGACTACATCTGTGGTGGAGTTGATAAATTATTAATTTATGCTGAAATTCGTTGAGAGGATTGAAACAATACTTCGCAGACAGAATATTGAAATGGAAAGATTTATTCTGGAATGTAAATATGTTAATATTGCTGGTGCCACCTATGGAACGAATCAGTTTCTGCAGGGAGCTGATCTCTGACCTCGCAATGTTCAATGGTAACGTTCACGTGCCCTAACGACCCTTACATTAACCATGACTTAGCCATGGATTATCCACTTTCAAGTCATTACCTAGTTCTCCTTTGAAACCTCTGACGTAAGAAACACAATCCCGGAGGAGGCTCCACGGTTTCTGCAGTGTCTGTGCACGCTAAACCTCAGCCAATGAAATTAAGGCTTAGACACTAAATTACAATAAAGGATTATGAAATAAAGATGTCTACTTTGGAAACTGATTATACACCAGTTATTCTTTAAAAATAAAACTTTGAAACTTAGCCAACCCATGCTAATTCATATGTGTAGACATTTACAATCTCATTCCCCGTGATGCTCAAACGGTGATAAAGTCTGCAACAGGAAAGGGGGAAAGGGTTGCTGCAGCTGTAAACAGTCCTAATTAGTTCATATCGGCCGATTGGGTTATAGACTTTGCTTCGTGCTCTGCTGATGTTGAGCTTCTGTTAATGGCAACTTTTGACAACTCATCGTGGGATGTTTGAATCCCCTTCCGTCGCTCTCTTCCAGGGGACAGTGAACAAATAAATCATAAATAACGAAAAATGTCGAAAACGCACTATCTGTTCTCCTTCATTGCAATTCCAAAGTCTGAAGACTGCATGGCGGAAATAAGTGCAGAGCCCAGTAGGGAGAAAAGAAATAACATTTTCGATACAAAACCTGTTTACCATTATAGGGAGAGTTGATTTTCTATAATTGTTTGTTCAGTAATAACAGATTTCATATTATACGATGAGGGATCTGTGGATCAGTCAGGGGAAATGGAGTATCAGTTTCAGTTCGTTAGCTCATTGATGGAAAAGGGAAACCTCGCTGGAGTCACGAAGAAAACTGTCTCAATGGTTAGACGATTGGAATTCGTTGGGAGATATTGATCTAGGAATAAACCAAATCCAATGGAAAACCCCTATCTTCAGAATGGCAACATCGACGGTAACTTTCACTTTTACTCAGTCGCCAGGTTGTCTTTGAACAGTGTGTATATATATTTTTTTTCAGTGCCGTTGTGTCAAAATCCTGGGACTCCCTTGTTAAGTGCACTGCGAGTGTCATACACCACAAAAGAGCTCAGCGGTTCAAGAGGTAAATCACCTTCACATTCTCCAAGGCAAATCGAGATCACAAAAGGATTCGGTTTCTCTCAAACGTCACCAGAGGGAGGAGATGAATCCGCTGGTCTTTATCTAACTGATACTCCCAGATGTAAACCACTCGCAAAGACTCAATAAGCGTTCGTGACGGGTGAAGAAAGTTATTTTCCAGACAAGCCAGCAAGCTGAAATCACATGTGACTGAGATTGCACTGATCACATTGACTCATTCTTTAGCTGTTACTGAATCTGCTCACTTGGTTAGTGTTATTCACATCTGAGTTACATCTCATTTTCTGTTGGATATTTTAAAGGAATGCTGGACCATGGAGTCTATCACTCGCCATTCTGGAACTGGTAACATTCAGCTGCAGGGGAAATGCTCAATATCGACAAAATGTTTGAGGTTCGTGCCACGGATGTTATTGGATGTTACTGGTTGCTGCAATTTATGCATCACATTTTCACTGTATCAGTGAAGCAATCTGAGACATCTGAAAAAGGCCAGAAAATTATTTGCTTTTCATTTACTAAACTAACAGCTTTAACTTATTTCAAGAATATATTTATAATGAATATAGTTACATGTTTAAATGAAAAGTAACAAATATCACCGCGAATTCGGGAACCATTTCAGTTCCAGTACTGATCTCACTGTTTGCCTGACACACTGTCATGTTCACTAATGTTCTGACAGTTTTCTACAGGGTCGGTCCGGTTCTGAGTCTCGGTAGTGCTCAGTGCGCTGGATTCTGCCAGTAAGGTTGACAACACTTACAGCTGTGCAGGCTGTTCACGTGATCAAATTCTGAGGAAAAGTAATCTCCTCAGAAATCTCTCTGTTATCTAAATATTTTCCTTTCTATTTAGCACATGCTCCATGGAACCACAGAACTGTTAACTGTGCCAGAACAGGTTAGGATGGTTGCTTTTCGTAGCTGTGTAATTACAGAACAACTTGACATCATCTCCCGCATTCGCTTTGATTGAAGCCAGTGTCTGGGAGACGGAAGCTCCTCGACACGTCCTGTAAAAGAATCAAGGTTAACAGTAAATTAAAGAAACACAAAACCACGTCATTATTCTTAACACGCACATTCGAACTGTCACCTTGAACAATGACTGGACAAGTAATCAGTGAAGTTAATTCGTTATCCAATACACAGAACGCAGTTGATGTAGTGGGAAGGGCTTTGACAGATTAAACAAGACTTTAATAGACAGATCACATCTTCTAAAGAGGTTATTTCCGATTTTATTGCCGTGATTTGAAAGGAAAACTGCAAACGTCCGGTGGTTTAAAATTCCTTACTCAGTCGTGTCATCTCAATGGCCTCAGTCCATTGTCTGTATTTCCAGTCCATCTCTTCCGCTGTCACCCACTCGGGGGAGTTCGCTTTGTTCTGCCAAACTGTGCTCCGCTCTGGGGCAAGTTCGGATCAGAAAAAAAAAAAAAATCTTCATTGGTGGAGAATGCATTGCTGCCTCCGTGTTCATAGAACTGCTCGAGTATACGTAATTCCTGACAAAGAACTGAAGTACAAAAATACGCAATTTATGAACCTACTAATAGAAGAGCTGCAGAAATAAAAGTAGAGCTCCCGGCGAAATGTTTGTTCGACAATTTCGTGAATGTCAGCAGATGTGGGCCAAAGTCAAAACCGTTTTTGTCAAGACTCGGCAAGAGGTTGAATAATTTCAGGATCTTTGTTCATTGGTTGGCGTAGACATCAGTGGACAGCCAACGTGCTTCAAGCTCCTTTTTTCTTCAATTAAACCAATGAAACTCCAACTCCTACGAGCTCGACTTCACGGGGACGGGACGGGACGGAATAACAAATTGAATTTGTTCATCCGACAACAGGGTATTGGAGAAAGATTAAACTGAATGTTGATAAAGAACAGTTTTGCATCCGTGTTGAAATGCAGAGAAGGAAAATAGTTCATGTTGTTCGAGTTCCCCAGCGAACAGAGTTATTCTCTGACTATCAGAGCTCATTGCAACTGATAAAGGGATTCATTCGATCTGAGGAATTTGGATGGACCAATGAGATAAAGAACCAATCATTTTTACGATTTAAAGCGTAAAGGAAGATATTATTTTTGGTTCGTCTGCATGCAAGATTCATAGCAACCGGGGTCATTGTACCACATTAGACGTAACTTCTGCATTAATACAAAAGGTGCTGCATCTAATAATACCAATGTTATTGGCATCAACAGGGACTGGTTCCCATTCCTCCCATTCCAAGATCTACTTTTATTCGGAGGAGATCTCGTTAGTCCTGCCATCTTACAGACAGCACAGCTTTCAGTAATCCATCTTATGGTTCCTGACATCATTATACATCCCCCGACATATGGTGTGCTCATTCATCACGAAAATAGTATTTCCTAACGCGAACTGATTTTTATTCTGTTATTTTTGAATGAATATGATATTTTGAATAATATCCAATTATCAGCTTTTAGAGACAATTCAAGTGTGTGACTCTAAATGAAATAGGTGATGTAAAAGTAAAGTCCACTTTGTTTTTTTGCTAGAATCATTCAGCCGTGACTCAAACTGATCTTAAACTCTGCATCACGTTTGATATGTTTTGTTGTCTTTCTTTTTTTTCTTCCATGTTTTCTTAATGTCATGTCTTCTGCGCCTATACTTACTGTACGTCTTCATATCCTCATTTCTTGCACGCTAACACTGGCCAGTGAATTTGTTTTCCTTTTTATCTGTGCATATTTCCACTCTCTTCACGCCTGACATTCTTATTTTCTTTTTTCTCTCAGAGAACTTGTCATTTTCTTCTACGCTAATAACCCATAACATCAGATTATGAAGCTCTGATAGGAGATTGCTTGAAGTATAACATAGTGATCTTCCATTCTGTGTACTTTTCTGTACGAGCTCGCCATATGTTTGCAACACTGTGCCCTCATGGTGCAGAAATAAATGGCACTGTCGCTGTTTCTGGAATATCCCACAGTCAGGGCACTGAATTTATTTCCTTCACCGATTGAAGCAGTGACCCTCTCATTTAGATGAGCTCTGGGTTTGGCCATCACCAGATGCTGGGGAGGAAGATTAGGGAATTGTATATACCAGTATACAATGGAAACATCAATGGTGCTAGTACAAATCATGGATACGATTTCCGTTTCACCAACGAAAGTCCGCCCAGGGTATTGCTTCACCTCATCTTGTTCAGTCACCTCTGTACAGATCAGACTGGGAAAGAGCAAAAATAGTCTATGTGGATGAAATTTCATGAAGCGCCAGTTGAAGCAAATGTCTCTGGAGGACGGGTTGTCGGCAGCAGACAGATTAATTATCCGGATAGTAAACAATGAGCCAAACGCCCTCTTCAGTGTCCGCTTCTTGTCGAATTTCCGGAAGAAGTTGAGTCTCCAGTGTATGTCTTTTCGTACCAAGCCTTTAACACTGACAGCTGTTCTCACTGTCTATAAGTTTGGTCCACCTCGGGCCCTCCCGTTCAATATTTATCGAAGCTTTACACTACCCTCTACTGGCGTATAGTGGTAATTGCGGGGTACAATTGCTCGCCAGAAAATGTATTTGAATGTTACAATGTTACAT